AATAAAGAAGTTAATTTATCCACTTTTAATTTTTCGCCCATTGCAGAAGTGGCCTGATTGACTTTATCCCCTACCGCTTTTTTTCCTTGGTCAACCTTATTTTGAAGTAAATTCTCGCCTTTCTTTTTTCAGCTACCCACTAAATCCAACTTTTTTCCAATATAATCTCCGGTTATTTTGATTTTGGGTAGGATCTCGGAATTATTTTCTGGTTTTTCTAGTTCAGGAGATTCAGTTTTCTGTCCTAAACCACTCTCCAACTTAAATCTTTCAGTGTCATAAGCAACTTCTTTGAGAATGGTTTGCCTGTCTATTTCTAAAATTTTTAATTCGGCTTGATGTCTTAAGGCCCGTTGAGCATTTTCGGTTTCTTGTTTTAATGCCAGTCGAGCATTTTCGGTTTCCTGCCGCAGTTTAGTTTTGGCAATTTGCCCTTCTTTGCGAATTAGCCTGGTTTTAGGACTAGATTTTTGTTTGGGACGGTTAAATCACCAAACAATCAGAGCCGGGGCTGCTGCACCGAGAATCTGAACTGTGGTTGAAATTATTTGATTTCAGTTAATTTTATTCATAATGCTAAATTTCAATGTGCGTAATTATTTTCTCTTGTTGTCAACTCCTAAACTCTTGCCTCAGTGCTTCTACTTTGGCACTTAATATTGCTGCTGTTTCCACCTTTTTCACATCCCGCAACCAGACACATAATTCCAAATCTTGGGGCAAAAAACCAGCCTTAATTCACTCGCTAACTTCCTCAAAAGTAAAACCCAAATTCTTTCAGGATTGACTTACTTCTAAAGTAAAGTTTGGGTGAATAGTATTTCAGAGTGCTGAATCGGGAATAAGACCTCCTTGACGCCTTTGTTTTTTTATTTTAACTTCTCTAATTTTTTCCAAGGAAGGCGGTTCTTGTATTCCCAATGTGGAATAACGAACTTGACTCTCAACTTTTTTGCTTCATACAACTTTTAAACTATCATTCCCGTCCCCATTCAACTTCTTTAAATTATCACAACCGCTTAAATCTAATCGCGTCAGTAAATTATTAGCACAATTTAACTCTTCTAATTTAGTAAAATTGCTTAAATTTAATTCCCCTCTTAAATCTAAATTGCTAATATCCAATTTGCGGATATTTTGTTGGATAAATTTAGGATATTCGGCCTCAATATAGGCTTGGGCGGTAAAATATTGTCGGGCTTTTTTATATTTAGAATTATTATTTTTTAGCATATTTTTGTGATTGTTGCTTATTATTTTTTTCATTTTGACATTTTTTAATAATATTCTTCAACTCTTCCACTTCTTCTTTTAATTCATCTATTTGATGTTGTTCTTGGCCATTCTTTTTCTCTAATTCTTTGGTTCTTAATTCTAATTCCACTTCTTTGGCTCTAATTTTCAATATACGAATATGCTGGATGATGGAACTTATTATTCAACCAACAAAACCCACAAAAGCAATTTGGCAGCAATTGATATTTCTAAATCATTCCATATTATTTTCTATCATAAATAACACCGGTCATTCTTTCTAGGAAATTGTTAGCGTTATCCTCATTTCCTTTCAATTTCACCAATTCATCATAACTTTTTCTGAAAGATTTCAATAAATTACGATATCCATCCATGGTGTCCTCTGTTATGGCTTCTTCGGTTAGTTTTTTTAAAGACTCGGATTTGGTAATATCCGCATCAGATTGTAAAAATTCCTTAATATTTTCTCTAATTCGGTATCATTTTTCTTCGGGAGTTTCTATGCCGTTTAGAATGTTGGCTAAATGAATACAAAACTCGGTGGTGTTATCAATCCCTTTATAGCTGATTAATTTAGTTGAAAGTTCCCCGCGACTTAATTTACCCTGTAATTTTCAATAAGCCTCAATGCCTTCTTTTTTGCTTAATTCTTCCGCCTCTTCAATTTCTTTTCTAAAAGTTTGGGAGTTGCCAATTTCGGCTAAATGAGCCTTAGCGATATTTATTCTTCTTTGAATTTCTTTTTCGGTTAATCGTGTCATTATACTGCAATAGTTATTATTTCCCCCTCCTTATTTTGGATTGTTATTGATTTTGCTCCACATGCTCTAGCAAACTCTTTAATTTTTTCTAAATTTGAAGGCTCATATGCTTTAGGAAGTCAAATCCTTTCAAGTTGCTTACTTACTTGCTCTAATTCTTTTTTTGAAAAATGATTTTTAATATTGTATTCCATAATGTATTTTGATTACTTAACTTTTTATGCTCGCATTCGTAAAGTTCAAACTAATTTACCTTCTCCATTTATCTCTTTGCCGTAATCTATTTCAGCATTAGTCAAATTATATAATCCTGCTAACTTCTTAATAGTATTCGGATTTTTACTTCTTTTGTTAGTTTCATCATAATCTTTAGCAACTAATTCATTGATTTTTGCTTCCACCAAACCATTTAAAACTGTTCGGGTTTCTTTAATCACTTCCTCTTTTTTGCCTTGGTCTAATTTGGCACCGAAAACCGAACTAATGAATTTAGCCTGATTTTTTAAGTCTAATCCTTGGGGATATTTCCTATCTTGGGTGATGAAATTAGAAATCATTTCTTTTAAAGTATTCTTGGATTGCTCCTCTCCCATGGTAATGGCTTCACTTTTTCCTTGATACCTGTTTCATAATTTTTCACTAGGATTAATGCTTTTGTCCATGAAGGCATATCAAGGTTTAGCCATCGCTTCTTTTTTGTCTTCTTCATTATCCTGGCGTCAAACCAGTTGAGTTAATTTTTCTTTTTTAGATTGTTGATCCTTGGTAATTTTGAGACCCATCAAAATTTCTTCAGGTGCTTTGCCGAAAGTTTTAGGATCGGGATAGGCTACGGCTCCTCTTAAAATGTCAATGTCGTAAATCTGCTTATATTCTTTATCGTTAATTTGCTTAATATTGCCATCAAAAGCAGCTTTAACCATGGCGGCTGAAACATTATCAGTTAAATCCATTTCTCCACATTCTTTGGTTAGAGTAATGGAATTCCCCCACTCTTTCCGAGCCACTCGCCCAGTTTGTTGAATTAGGGGACCAATGGGAGTAAATCCGAGAGTGGGTTCTGAATAAGTAAAATATTTACCTAAATTAGTGGTTTCAGTAGCTCCCGAAGAAACTACATTGTGAATTCAAGGTGATACTCCCCTATCTTTGTCTCCATCAACTATTCCTAATGAACCACGGGGCTGGCCATAAGAAACATCTTCACAATTTTCATCAAATTCAGGGGTGTAAATCAAGTAAGAAGTATTAGTTCCCAAAGCTCTCCTTTGGGCATCGTTAATTTTTAAACTTTTAACAAAAACCCAAGTTATTCCATTTTGGATTGCTTCTTCTGCATTAACTTCTACTGGAACTGGTAAACCATTTTCATCTTGCCATTTAATACTGCCAGTCGGAACCCCTCTCATTTGCTCTAATTTTTCTACTTGGTCAGCATTAGTAAATTTCATTAGTCCCATCGGCATGTTAGGGTCAATTGGTCCACCAGCCCAAATTCTTTTCATAGGATAGGAGGAAGTAGCAGAGAATTCTGCTCCTGGAAAAGTAGCCGACATTCTTAAAACTTTATAACCAGCCTTAATCATTTCGAATTGTAAGGATTGATAACCAGCATCGTTATAATCGGCTTCGTCAAAGATGATGATGGTGTCGTCCTTTGGAATTAATTTGTCTTTAACTTTTTGCTTTAAACTTTCATCACTTCAACTGTTAATTCCTCCACTTTCCACAAATAGATTACGGTTGACAAAACCGAACAAGTGTCCTCAATACATAATTGATAAACCTTTTTTGCCTTCTTCCATTCCTTCTAATTTTCCGTTATTAGCATTTTGTCAGTAGGCTAAATCATTCTTGGCTACTGGATAAGAGCCGTGCGATTTATAAAGCGATTTCATTTCGGGGTCGTGCCGACCTTCTTTTATATCTTCCTCGGTCGCTCTTTCCATGGTGCCTCGGCGAACATAAACCATTTCAGTTTCCCCTTTGGCTCCTCCGTGAAAAACACAGCCCCAAGGTTGTAATCAATTGCCAGGTGAGTGGTGTTTGAAAGCACTGTCGACTAAGGTTTGATTAGTAGTAACTAAAATGATATGTCTCTTTCCTCCGCAAACCAAACAATTGATTAATTTGGTTGACTTACCGATACCAGTTCCGATGGCTAAATGACCTGAATTTCCTTTGTCTCCGCCAATAACTTCAATTTCTTCTTCCACTCATTTATCTTTACTCATTAATCCCCCTTTGATAAATCTTTTGACTACTTTTTTGCCAATTTGACAAAAATGTTCGGGGTTGGTTAGTTTGTCCGGATTAAAAGGGTAACCTTTGCCGTCTTTACATTTATCGTAAAAGAATTTTAAGAGGTGGGTTCCCCGCTGAGAAATATCCAACTTTTCTTCCGCGTTAGTTTTGTCTTTGGGGATTTCATAGCCCCCTTGTTGTTTTAGTCAGCCCGATTGAATCAAGTCTTCTCATTTTCCGTCCTCTTGAAAAAGTCCCAGGGCTTGAATATCTGGATCCGCCGCTAAAAAAGCATTTAATTTTGCTACTGTCATCGGTTCATAATTTGGGACATTTCAAGTGTTTTGTAAGTTGGAGGAGAGTTTTTTAAGGGTGGCTTCTTCTAGGCCGCCATCTTTGGGATTGGTTAAAGAATATCAGAGATTATTTCTTTGGTTTTGTTCGGCTTGTTTGATTTCTTGGGCCTTGTTAGGCGGTAGGAAGTCAGTTTTTAGTTCGGCAAATTGTTTATCTATTTGTGACTGATTGGCGTCTAAATCTCGCAAATATTTGTAAGAATTGATTTGTTTGACCAAATTATCAACTTTGGCTATTTCTTGGTCGATATCTTGTTTTTTAATTTTTAAGACTTCGATATTGGGGATGTTTTGGTAGTTGGTTTTAGCCTGGGTGATTTCAGCAGGATTAGTTCAGCCGTTTTCGTAGGCAATTCGCTGGTCTTTTCCAGTGTTTGGGAGGCCAGTGGGAGAAGTTCTTCAAAGTCCAATTTCAGAATCAGTTAATTTTGTGGGATTTTGACCTTGAAAGTATTGTTTGAATAAGGACTTAATGCGATTATCTCTAATTTTGCCAACTTCTGCTCAACTGCGAGTATCCGGGACTTTTTTTTCTAGATAAGTAGTCTTTATTTCTTCCTCAGAAGGAAATTTATCTAAATTAGTTTCAGTTTCTATTCTTTTAACGATAAATTCATGAACTTTGTCAACTTCTTCAGCCAAATGTTTTAAAGTTTCTAAATGGGTCGTGGTTTGTTGGTGTTCTTGACCCATTACTAAGACCTTGGTGGTGTAATTGGCAATGATTTTATCATTATTGATTAAACCATTAGGGCTGTTATATCAGCCGTTGTTATAAATTAGTTTGGCTACTTCCACACTTAAACTACTTTTGGTTCAATTATCCTTTCAATCGGGCTTAATATTGCCCAGAGTGTCATGAGTAGTGAAAAATTTCTCTCACGCCTTTTTCCTTCGTTCTTCCGGAATGGATTTTAAAACTTCGGTAATTTGCTCGGGGGTTTTAGCCTTATTTATTTGGTCTTCCTCGGTTCTCGTAAAATCTTCGCCGACAATGCTTTCTCCCTTTAAAATCGCTTCTTTATAAACATTCTCGGCCGCTTTGGGATTACCGGGAAATTTATCCATCCAGATTTTCTTTTGGGTAGCATCCGAAATGAAGTGTTTATTATCAAAAAAATCATCCCACTCTTCAATAGCACGGATTTTTTTTTGTTCCTGAGCCTGCATCATCGCAATTTCTTCGGCATTTTTGCGACAGCCTTCGCGACCGGGCGGAACCCCTTCGCCTCCTTTGATGGGATAAAATTCTCCGGGTCCGAAAATATCATGGATTTTTTTTAAAATTATTGCTTCTCCTTTGGCATCCAGTCCTTCAACAACTGTGGTGTTGATTATTTCTTTACCTTTGTAAACTCCATCTTGGAAGTTTTGAGAGCCGCCTAATTTTTGTTCAATAGTATTAATGTTTTCCTTATTAGTTTCTTCTCAAGGCTTATAAGGTTTAAGAATTTGTTCGTTTATTGCTTTTTGGGTATCTTCTCAATTTTTATAAGGAATGAGGGCTTTTTGAGTGGCTTGATTGTCTTGTTGAGAGTTTCAGCCGCCGGTATATTCTCCGTTAGTGAAGTTTTTTTCGCCAAAAACTTTATAAACAGTTTTGAGAACAATTTCTTCCCCTTGGTATTTGCCGCCTTTGAATTCACCAAAAATACTCTCTAAAAGATTGCGAATTTCTTGTTGGTTAATTCCTCCTTTATAAGTATTGCCAACAAAATTTTTCTCCCCGAGTAATTTTTTAAGTAATTTAATGACCGTTTCTTCATCAACAGTAGCCGTTTTAATTTTCTTGTCGACTACGGCTAAGAAATTTTTGTACCTAATATTTTCTTTAGTTTTTAAGGATAATATATCGATGCTCATAGTAGTTAAAGTAGTTAATTAGTAATTAGTGAAGGTTCAGAATCTTTAACCTCTAAAAATTGAGATAGTAAATAAAGGCTGCCAGCGTCATAATCATATTCTTCGTTATATTCTGAGCCATTATTTCATCTTTCAAATAATTTTTCATATTCCGAAGTAGTGCGGGCTTCTTTAATTCATTCTAAAACTTGCCGTATTCGTTCTTTTTTATCTGGTTTTTGCGAATTTAATAATAGGGGGGAGTTTTTATCAGTAATGTTATTGCTATCTAAATAATAAGTTCACCCTTCTTCAGTCTCTTTTAATAGTTCGGCAATTTTTTCCCGTGCCTCCTTAGTGTTAGTGGGAAACACATCTATCAAGACATAGCGAAGAGTTCGTCAGGCTTTGAAAAAATTTTTAATATTGAGATAGAATTGTTTATTTTCTGCTTCCTTTTGGGCTAATTCTTCTTGCAATTTGACTAATTCTTGCTCTTTTTCCTGGGTTTTGGCTAGGGGCTGACGGCGAGCATAATCATCTCATCAATCTTTTTCGCTAATGTGAATATCAGGTCGTTTTTTTAGATCTTCCCATTCTTCTTTAACCCGGACTAATTCTGGTTGCCCAAAGGCTTGGGTTCACTCCTGTAATTTTGCTCCTATTTCCTTAATTTCTTGTTCAGTTAACTGGTTTTTGTTTTCTAATTCAACTAATTTTTGGTTAACCTCGCCGGAAGTTTGGTGATTAAAAGTATCTTTTCAAGTTTTCAACTCTTCTTCCACCTTGGTTAAATTAGTAGTTAAATCATTAATTTCTTCTTGGACTTGTAAAGATTTTTTCTCCCCAAAAGCATCGGTTCAATTAGATAATTCTTTCTTGATTTCATTAAAGTTGACTTGCCTTTTTTCAAGGTCTTTGAGTCTTTCCAGTTTTATTTTTCAATCGTTGGGCAAATCTTGGACTTCTAACTTTTTATAATCTTTTAGTTTTTTTTCATCTTCTTTAGTGAGTATTTTTTCTGTGCGGTCTTCGTTTCAACCTTTATTTTTATCCAGATCAGCCAATATCTTCTTAACTTCATCCGGCGCTAAATGAGTTTCTAAAGTTTGGATAAAAAATTTGCGATTAGGGGCCTCACTATTAGTAATTACTGGTTCGTCAGTAGTATTAGGAATATTGTTTACAATTTGGTTATTGTTGTTCATAAGCAGTAGTTAATATTTGTTGCAAATCCTTTTTGCGGCCCAAAAGTTGCATTAGTTCGAAAAGGCTATCATCATAATCGTATTCAGGATTGTATTTTTCCCCATCGTTTCATTTATAGACCAAACCTTCGTAATCTCCGCTCGTTTGAGTTTCCACCACTCAAGTTAAGATTTGTTTAGCTCGTCTTTTTTGTTCGGGAAATTGGAAATAGGAACCCAAGACTGGACTATTTTCGGCAATATTAGGGTCATCACTTTCAAAATAGGCTCGTCAAGACTTTTCAATATGAACTAATAACTCCTTAATGGCTTCTTCGGCTTGTTTAGGGGTCTGAATAGGTTCAGTTAAGAATCATTTTTTTTGGAAACCGGCTTCGTCTACTATTTTTAAAGATTGGCGGAAGCCTTCGTTTTTTTCTTTTAAACTAGTAATTTCTTCTTTCAACTCTTTAAAACTCTCTTCTAACGAAAATGAAGTATTAGCAAAATTAAAGTGTTTAATGGTTGTCCAGTTTAGATTTATATTTGCTAAATCAGGATTGTCGGCAATTATCAATTTCTTTAAATTAGAGCAATTATTTAAATCTAAGCTCTCTAAAACATTGTCGTTAGCGATTATTTCTTCAATAGCATTATTGCTATCGTTTAATTCTAGTTTATTTAACTGATTATTGCGAACATTAATTTTCTTCAATTTAGGGCAATTAATAACCGTTAAACCAGTTAATTTGTGTTCTTTGAGATTTATTTCTTCCAATTCAATATAGTCCTTAATAACCAGTTCATCAGTTAATTTTTCTCCTAATTTTGTAGAAGTTATTTCTAACCGAGTAATATTTTTGTCGGTTAAATTCTTATCTATATATTCTTGGGCTTTAAAAGTGTTGGTCATAATAAGTGCTAAATTTTGTCTATTTTATCTTTAATTTCTTTAAATTCATTCTTATCCGCATAATTGCGTAAATAATCTTCTCATTTTTGCTTCTGCTGGGCCAATTCCTCAAAATTCTCACTAGTTGGCAATTGCTCCTGTTTTTGTTTTAAATTAGCAATTTCTAATTTTAAAGGAGTGGTAATAACTAATTCAGAGATTTCTTTACTAAAAGGACTTTGTGAGTGATAGTGAACTTGAATAATATACTTGTCATTCTGATAATCCAAGGTGGTTTTAAAGGCTAAATTTTCTTTACTTTCCGGATTATTTGTTAACGATTGACTGACTAATTCGATTAATTTTTGTTGGATTTCAGATCAAGTTTTATCAATTATTTTTTCACTTACAGTGGTTTTTATCATTTGTCCGTCCGCAATTTCTTGATTAGTGGGGAAGTAAATAGATAATAGACTACTTTCTAACTCAGGATATGGGAAAGTAGAAGGATTTAGTAATAAAGTTAAATCCAATTGGTAAGGGGCTGGTAAATTATCCTTAACCCAATTTAATTCTTCCAAAAATTTATTCCAAAATAAAGGAGTTTTATCCTCTTTATCACCGCCTATAGAAATAGAGGCTAATTCTTGGGCCAAAGTTCAGAAAACTAATTGCGGGCAAAAATTCCCAGCTTTATCTTTTTTTTCCAGGTTGAGAAAAATAACACCTTCTTGGGCTTCATTGGGTTCTCCAAATTGAACCTGAACTGATTTAATTTTGGCTAATCTTTGAACTTCTCGGACTACTTTTTTCTTAATAATATCGCCGCCAATTCCTAATTCCTCCCATAATTTTTTATCTTCTTCGGTTTCCTCTTCCACCTGTTCCCAAATTATTTCTTTTAATTTAGTGAGACCTTGGGTAATTATTTTGGTAAGAGGAGTAGATAAAATATTAGGGTCAATTTCTACTTTTTCTAAATTAGAAAAAGCGGTTAAATCCAATTCTCCTCCTGTTAAGATTTCAGTAATGGAGGTCAAAATAAGTTCTTGGACTTCTGATTTTGCTTCCTCAGTGGGGTATTTTTCCTGTAAATATTCCTGTAAAGTTGTCATATTATTGTTCTACTTGATTTACTTGTAATTGTTGTTCTATTTGAGTTAACTCATTACGGCATTCCGCAATTATTTTCTTCACTTGTTCATTATTTTCTAAATAAGCGTCGGCTCGTTCTGTTTCTCCTCTTTCTCGGCAACGATTAGCCTGTGCCAGATTGCCGGCGATAATTCCTTCTAGATTATCAATTCTGTTGATTAAAATTTGTTTGCGTGTTTGGTTTAGCATATTCAAGTGCCAGAATAAGCAGTTTAAAATGGCAAAATTAAACGCAAATAAATCAAAACATTTAATAATTATTCAACCACTTTAATCTGGCAATTCAATATGGGCAGTTTTACCTGCCCTAAAGTAGAGAGTAGATGCTGGCGGTTCTACACTTTTAGGTGGGCAGGCAGAATTGTCCGATTCAAGAACCTACCCACCACTTTTTAATTAACCAAAACTCAATCCTGTTCTATTTTCTCTGAAAAAGTATAAGGTTCAGCAAAATATAATTCTCGGTAATCCTCTTTTCGCAAAGAATTAGTGGCCCAAGTATTTAAATATTGAGAACCATCTTTTAATTTTTCACCTGCTATTTCTATTCCTTGACCGGCATATTTGGTTGCTTCAAAAGTTTTTTCCAAGATTCAAGAACCATTTTTTACTCCGGTTCCTGTTGTTGAAGTTGCTACTCCCGTTCCTAATCCAAAAAGGGATAGGGCTAATCCTGCATAAATGATAAATTTTTTGATGATATTCATAATATTAAAATTTTTAACAATAAAAATAAGACTACTGGCATTTTTTATAAGTTTATGTATATGCTCATACTAATGCTTATGTTAACACTCATACTTTTTGCCCTTAAATACTAAAATATATTATATAGGTCAAAGATTTCCCTTTTGAGGGAAATTATCATAAATGTATAAAAATATGGTAAACAACAAAGTAAATATGGCAGATGCTCAAAAAAAGCAATCGTTCCCTTCAATCGAACACAAAAAAAAAATCTTGTGGGGAATTTTTGCCAAATTAGACCAAGCTTCAAAGGGCTGTGGAGAATTGGATTTGCCTCTCTTTGGGGAAATTTTACTAAGCAAGTTAGAAAAGATAGAGTCTGAATTTGAACCTAATAATGTCGTGATTAAAGACCTCAAAGAAAGAATAGAAAAAATTAGAGACTGCAAACCAGACCCAGATTATAATATTCATCTTGCCAAATCCATTTGCCAAAAATTACTAGAAGAATTTTAAGAAAAAATGAGTGAGTTTAGATTGTTGATTAAGTGTCCGCGTTGTTGAGCAATTAATGCTTTGCACACTCCTTATCTCAAATGTTATAATTGCAACCATGTCGACGAAAAGGATGTTTCCTACCAAATAAATGAAATTGAGTTGGAGCAAAGAAAAAAGATAGAAGCAATAATTAAATCTTTATTTCCTACTAATCCTCCCACCATAAGTTTTCCCGAAAGCAGTATAAATCCGGAAACTGGTGATATTGATTGGGGTTGAGCCAATATAAATACCAATGCTTTATCTATTCCCCGCAAAACTTTTTATTGTTCTAATGAACAGTTAATTGATACCGCCGTCCATGAATCAAACCACTTACTGACCCAGATAGGAACTCATAGTCCCACTTGATATTCCCTTTATTTGCAACAACGTGAAAAAGTTTTTGCTACGGCGGAATTTGCCAACTTTGCTAACTCTAATAAACAAAAAGTCAAATTTACCAAAGGTTATAGTGTTTATCCGGAAAGCAATTTAACTAAATAAGCATTTTTTACTACACTTTCCACAAACCACCTTAACCCTGCCTTTCCTTTTCCATGCCCACCTAATAAACCAAATATGGAAAACAAAGGATAAAATTACCAACAGGCCAATTACCGCAAACAAATAAATAATATTTTGCTTCAAATATCCTTTAGCCCTTTCTTTTTCCGGACAAACTGAACAAGGTCCGCATAATTTCTCAATAACCTTCTGTTGCATTTGCTGATGACTTTGTCAAGCACTAGATAATTGTTGATTAATTTTACTAAATTGTTTCTGACTTTCAGAAGCCAAAGTAATTATTTGTTGAGACTTTTGCTCTTGAGATAAATTAGAATTAGCCAATTCTGTTATTTTGTTATCCAACTGTTTTTGTAAATCATCTTTTTGTTGCTGGCAAGTTGTTAATTGCTCCTCGATGACTTGGAGTTCTTTTTGTTGGTCAGAAATCTTTCAGTCTTTTTTATCATCAATTTCTTTAAAAATTTTGTGTAGTTTATCAATTTTACCTTGTAATTCGATAATTTTTTTGATAAAAAAATCCCTACCATGGGTCATGAGAAAAATATTTTATTATTAAATCAATGATTATTTTTTGTTGTTGAACGACTTCGCTAATTCTAGTGTTTGAATTATTTGAGCCTCCAAATTATCAAATTCCTTTTTCACTTCTGCTGAAATCTGGTTATTTGTTTGTTCAGTCTCCTTTTGTTTTAGTTCTTCTAGTTCGGCTTTTAGTTTAAGGTTTTCTTCCCTCAAAGTTTCGTTTTCTTCTTTTAATTTTTTATTGTCTTCGAGCAAAAGACTAGCGGTTTCTTCAATTTCCTTTATGGTTTCGGTTGCTTTTTTTATTTTTCTGTTAAGTTTTTCTATTCTTTCTGTTGTTCTTTCCATATTAATTTTGATTTTGCTTTCTATTATTTCAATAATTAGTAGTTGCTTCTATCTTGGCTTCCAATTCTTGTCATTCTTTGTTGGCTTCGGATATAAATTCACTCATTTCATCAGCTCCCTCTTCCCGTTTTTTCTTTTCTTCCTCTAATTCGTTTTGTAATTCCGTATTTTTAGTTTGTAATTCATCCCGTTCCTTTTCCATATCTTCTAATTCTTTATTAGCTGTTTCTAACTGTTTCAATAAATTGTCAATCATGGCTTTTTTTTGCTTTATATTTTGTGCCAGAGTGGCAATATTTTTTTTGTTTAAGGCTTCTTTACTATTTTCCATTTTTTAATAAATTATTAATTTCGATATAATTTTCTAATTCATCAAGTTCGGCCACAGCTTCTTGAAGTTCTGTCAAATCCATGCTTTCTTCCAAGGATTGCTTTTCTTTTTTCAACTCTTCAACCTCATTCAATAATTGTTGCCTTTGCTTTTCTACTTCTATTATCTCGGTGCGGGAAGTAGTAATTTGTTCTCGTAATTTATTCACCCCTCCAAAAATATTATTTTTTAAAACCGATAAATACTCTTGGGCTGTCCTTTCGTAATATTCCAATTTCTTTTCCTGTTCTTCTGAAAGAGGAAATGCTTCTTCTATATTTCTAACAAACTTGTCAAAAATAATTCGGTGGGAATCTGCCGAATGTGCTTCATAAGTTTTTTCTCGTAGTTGTTGTTGTAAATCTTTTTCTCTTTCTTGTTGGGCTAAATTAGCTTGATTAAGAGTAAGCACTGATTTTTCCAAATCTTTAATTTGATTGTCAACTCTGGTCAGACTTTCCTTCATTAAGGTGTTTTCTTGCACTAAATCTCTCATAGTTATTTCTTGTTGTTGATTGGCTTGGGTTAGAGCAAGAATTTGGTCTTGTAATTCTTGGACTGCTTGGGGGGAAATTCCGGCTTGTTTATCAATTTCACCCATCAAATTATTGAAAGTAGTATCCAAACCTTTTTCACTCTCATTTAAAATGGCATCATTCAACTCTTCTCCCAAAGATTTGGCTGTTTTAGGAGTTTTTAAAGTTAGTTCAAAATCCAAAGTAGGACTTTGAACTCGGGTGGATAAGGAACTCATTGAATCACTTCTACTATGGTCTAAATAGATACTGCGAGAACGGTTCAGCACGCCATAGTCTATTGTTTGTCTTTTGCGAGTTTTATTCTCATCTTCCGAAGAATTAAATAAACGATAATTTTGGATTTGCTTGTTGTGTTCTTTTTCTCGTTCTTTTCATCTTTTTCGATATTCCTGTTCTTTTTCAATTATTAATCGTTCATACTCGGCTCTTTCAGTTTCGTGGAGATTTTTATCATTGCTTAACCGACTTATTTGGTCGAATAATTTTTGTTGTTTTTCAGCTAATCCTTTATTTTCCTTTCACTGGGTTTCTAATTGTCGAATTAAGGATTTGCTATTGGCTACTTCTTTATTCAAACGATCCGTTAATTTCCGAACTTCTTCATCTTTTTCTAAAAAGTCGGCATTAGTTAAATTTAATTCTTGGCTAATAGTTTCTTTTTCTTTTCCTAATAATTTGATTTCTCGGGTTGCTTGGTGGAGTTTTTGGTGAGCCTCTTTTAGTTTGTTTTCTTTATTTTCACTTTCTGTCTGTAAAGTTGTTAATTGTTTTTCCAACCTAACTACTTCGTTATGCAATTCAGAGATTTCTTGTTTGTGCTGGATTTGATCTCTTTCATAACTTTCAATAATGGTAGTGTAATAAAGTTCATTCGCTTCGCTATCATCACTTTCACTTTCATAATAACTTGCTTCTTCACTTACTTCACTAATGGTGGGTGAGGTAGGACTTAAAATGGAGGTTTGGTAAGAATTGTTAAGGGGAGTGCCAGGCAAAGATTTTGAAAGGCGAGGAGGTAAAGGTCGGTCTCTTGAAGGGGATAAAGGGGAAGTAGGGATTTCTCTGATATCTCCCGGCGACAAAGGGGTGGGAGTATAACTTTTACTTCTTTTTCGGGAATTTAGTTTTTTTTCTAGTTTAGTCATGATAGTAAATTATTAAGCGATTTGTTTG